GCTTTATCTTATATTCTCTCAGGACCTGAAACGACTCTGCTAGGTGCCCAATGTGGAGCTCTGCCTTCAGTGACTTGACCAGTATGTCATCAATATAGATCTCCATGGAGGTCCCAATCTATTTTTGAAACATCTTATTCACCAGAAGCTGGTAAGTGGCTCCTGCATTTTTTAAATCGAAAGGTATCACTTGGTAGCAGTACGTCCCTTGCTCGGTTATGAACGAGGTTTTCTCTTGGTCACTGGGATCCATCTCGATCTGATTGTACCCCGAGAAGACATATATGAAGCTGAGGAGCTCATGTCCCGCAGTGGCATCTACAATCAAATCTATCTGGGGTAAAGGAAAACTATCTTTCGGGCAAGCACGGTTGAGGTCTGTAAAGTCAATGCAAAGACACCATTTTTCGTTTGTCTTCTTGACTAGGACTACATTGGCTAGCCAGATTGGGTAATCCACTTCTCGAATGACTTTTATGTGAAGGAGCTTGCTGACCTCGTCATTGATGGCTTTCTGACACTCCGGGGCAAAGCTCCTCCTCTTCTACTTAATGGGCTTACAGGCTGGATTCACGCTGAGGTTGTGAGTGATGATAGAGGGATCAATCCCTTTCATGTCCTCTTGCTTCCATACAAAAAATTCCTTGTTCCTTTTCAGGAATTGGATGAGGAGATCCTTGATCTCCTTGCTCAGCTTGGATGCAACGTAAACAAGATGCTCTAGCTCCTCATCGATTTGAACAAGTTCCAGCTCTTGTAATGGTGTTGGCCTGGTCTCGAGTTCGTCCCTCATGTCAAGCTCATCTAATTGGATGCTCTCAACCTCCTTATTTCTCGTGGATGCCATGTAGTATTCCCGTGCTACATGTTGGTCTCCTCGGACCACTCCAACTCCGTTTTCTGTTGGAAACTTCACTACATGGGAATAGGCAGAGGGAATAGCCCTTATAGAATTGAGCGAGGGTCTTCCAAGGAGCATATTGTATGCTGAAGGTGCGTCAACCACTAGGAATTTCACAGCTGTAGTAGTCTGACAGGGTGGGTCACCTAAGGTCAAGATGAGTTGAATTGACCCCAGTGACAACACCATTTCTCCTAAGAATCCCAATAGGTGGACACTTACTAGTTCAAGTTTTTCCCTTCCTATATCCATTTGTCAAAAGCAGAAGCAAAAATGATGTCTGTCAAGTTGTCATTGTCAATCAAAACACGATGGATAGTTTTGTTGGCCACCACAGCTCTTACCACCAATGGGTCGTTGTGGGGATGTTGGCAGCCCTCCAGATCTGAATCTGAGAAAGTGATAACCGTGTCCAAGCGTGGAGATTTAGACACAGTATATACTTCGGGAGCTTCTGTGGCTTTGGTTTTTCACAAGTGGCCCTTTCTGGCAGAGCTGGATCTTTCTCCTCCGGTAAATCCTCTAGATATCACTCTGATCTCTCCCATAGGTTACTGGTGTGGCTCTGGTGCTTGACGCTGAGGGGTGGGAGTGGGAGAGCCCGATTTTGATTATCATTGGCTATATAGCATCACAACTGCCCTCGTCGGATTAGAAATTCTATTTTCCTTTTCAATTGGATACAATCGTCGGTGTGATGACCATGGTTTCTGTGGAAGTCACAATACTTCGTAGGATCCCTTTTTGTCGGGTCTACTTTCATCTGGGTTGGCCACCTTAAGAACTTATTATTTTGCACCTCATATAGTATCTGAGACACTATAGCAGTCAGGGGGGTGAACTGCCAGGGTGCATACCTCGGTTGTAGCTCTGGTTGCGGAGGGCTGAGGCGATCCCTGACATTTCTCCTTTTCTTCGGAGAACACTCTCTGTCTCTTTTTGGAGACCTGCCTCGTTCTCTTTCCTTTATGGGACTTCGTTCTCTCTTATTTTCTTCCTTCCGTTTCTCCTTTCTCGACGAAGAGCTCCCGACCTTGGAGAGTAGCGCTTCCTCACCATTTATGTGCTTTTCTACTTTGGCGAGCACCTCCGCCATACTAGCCTGGGGGTTCTTTGAGATAGAAAACATCAGGTCTTTTGACTGAACCCCCAGACCTGCTATGAAGGCTATAATAACAAAATTTTCATCTAGGATATCCACCTTCAAAGATTCTGAGTTGAACCATTGGACATAAGACCGTAGGTTCTCATTAGGTCCCTGTTTCACATTTAACAAATGGTAGCTCGATTTCCTATAGGTCCAAGCTCCAATGAAGTGGGACACAAACGAGATTGATAGCTCTTTAAAAGAGAAAATCGAGGTTGGGGGGAGTTTGTTGAACCATGCTAAGGCTGAGCCCTTTAGGGTGATAGCAAAGACCCTGTATCTCATTGGATCTTGATATCCATGCAACTCCATTTGGTTTTTGTAGGTATTGAGGTGGTCCATGAGATCTTTTGTCCCATCGAAAGCATCCACCTACGACATTCTGAATTTAGGTGGGAGAGGGAAGTGCAGTACCCCAGCAGTGAATAGGGATTTGGTTTGCTACATCAAGGCATCCATAGTGACTGGGGCCTTGCTCTTCACTGCCTCCTTCATCTGGCTGAGCTCTTGCTGGATGTCTTTGAAACGTTGTTCCTAGTGGTGTTCTCTTCTCTCCTGTTGATAAGGGAAGAAGTCGCTCTTCTCCCCTTCTTTATACTGACTTTGCACTTCCTCATTGTGTCCATTCCTAGGCCTCCATCTCATCATTCATGGGAAAGCCCCCCATTGGGGGATCTGTTTCTTGAACATTTTTGGGTTACCTGTTATTTGCGGCTTCCTATTGATCTTGCACCTGTAGAGGATTGGTCTGACTTCGGCTCATGTTTCGCGTTGATACCATCAGTCACTGAAAAATTAGCTTTATTTGTAATAGGAACAGTCGTTCCCACATACGGCGCCAAACTGATGGTGTATTTCAACGTGATGAGAATTTGTAATGACGAGTAAATGAAAGAAAATAATATTAGAATTGTTGGGATCTGAGCTACTAGACTCGAGTGAATGATACTGAGAATTATCGGGAAATTAGAGAATTAACACAGTAGGAATATAGTGGTTCACTAGCTCGGGAGCTTGGCTAATCCACTCTTTAATGGAGACTCTTGCTCCTTATCTTTCAATAATGATGATTGCAAGAGTACAATGGCTAATTTTTGTCTCTAGGGTTCCTCTCGTTCCTTGGGGGCATTACATAGTATTTATAGGGCTGTTCCCTATTCAGTGGGATCTTAGCTGAGATTGTTGCCCTTATTTTGTGGGTTTCTCCTTGATTATAGGGGAAGATCTTGGTTGGTTGCGATTAGCTGCCTCGATTATTGCTTCCTAACGCTTTTAGGAACCTCTCGTGATCTTCCAGCTATTGCCTTAGTTGTTATTGCCCTTGCTTATCTCGAAGGGACCTCCAGCTCTACTCTTCCGAGTTCTGTTTCGTCTAGTCTGACCTCCTGGGCTGAGCTGACCTTCTGAGCTGGCGTTTGTAATTTATTTTGAGGTATCATCAATATCAATAGAGGTTCATTATGGTGGGTAACTAATAGATAAACCAGTGAAAACATATGTTGGTGGGGGACGGTTGATATCCTAAAAAGTATTGATCCAGACAAATTCTCTTTGTTGGAATTAGATGATATTCCTGAAAAGTAGGGGTGTTCATGGGCCTAGCCGGATTACACTTGGGAAATTTTTTTCGGGCCGGGTTGGATAGTGTAGGCCCAATCTCTTACCCAAATGAGTTATTGGACGGGGCAGGCTGGGCTTTGGGTAGGGGTAGGCTACTCATAGTTCAACCCGTGAGCCTATTGAGCGAGCCTGTGGGTGGGCTTGATGGCGGGGCCTGCTCGCAGATTTTTTTATATTCAAATTTATTTAAAAATAATGAATATTTTTGTAACTTAATAATTGTTTAAATTATATTTTTGAATAAAAACTAAAGTCAAAATGGATAAAAATAAAATAATGAATAATTTTATTTTTAATTAGGGAATGAACTACATCCAATTGAATGAATAAATTCCAATTAGGTTGACATCTACTCACTTATCTATCATTTGCATTACTCTACCCTTTAAAACTTGTATGCTTAATACATGAAAAATAAAATAATATATTATTTATAGTATCTAAATTTTTAAAACTTTAAATTACAACATTGAGAGACTTATTTCAAAGTTTTAAATTTAATGATCTAAAAGTATAATTTTTTTTCAAAGGAAGGGTGGACGGGTTGGGCTTGGAGGGCAAGCTTGACGGGCGGGCTCTTGGGCTAGATAATGGGTTTGGAGGCAAACTCAAGCCCCCTTTTTAAGGATATTAGGCTTGGACTCGAGCGGGCCTATCGAGTTTCGGGCCTATTTTTTCTGGGCCAGATAACGAAACCCGTGGGTAATAGGGGTTCAACTTGGGTTTGGCAACCCAATTTCAACCTGAGCCCAACTCGAAAAAATTAAAGCTTGAGCAAGGATTTTTAATACTTGTATTGGACTTGGGTGAAAAAATCCCAACTCGAATTCAATTTGAGTTGGGCTCGGGTTAAGGCCTCAGGTTCACGGGTTCAACCCGAACCCGAACCCGACAAATTAAAAAAATTATATATATATATATATATAAAGCATTAACACTGATTTTTCATTTTTGTTCTATCGTTCTCTGTTTCTCTCATTCATTTTCATTTTTGTTCTAGCATTAACACTGTTAAAAACTTGGTTGAAGTTATTGGTTGTTAATTGAGGTGAATAATATGTAATATATGTATTAGGTTTAGAACAACAAGCTTGTTTTGGGCTCTTCCCGAACTCAACCCGAATAGAACCCGTAAAGTAACTCGAAATCAACCTAAAATCATTAACTCGAATTCAACCCGAGTCCACCCAAATTAAACTCAGGCAGTGTTCGGGTTGAGTTTCTCAACCCGAGGTAGGGTTAGGGTTAGGGTTGAATATTATATACATAGGGTTGGGCTAGGGTTGACTGTCCAACCCGCTCGAGTTGCACTCCTAGTGGGTAACCCGACCCATGGAAACCTCTACTGAAAAGCTAGGGTATGCACTATATTTGGCCTTCTGCAGAGTTCTTGGTTGCGATTTGGCTATTGGTTTGAAGCATATGTCTCGCGATAAGGCAATAATGCAAATGTTTCAGTGTTTTCCAAGTAATAGACTTGTTCGGGTGTATTTTGTGTATCCAGATGATTTGCCAGAACAAGGTGAGAATAACCCAATGGTTAGTGGAGATACAGACTCTGAATTAGATTCTGAATATGTGGAGGAAGCAAACCAAACTGATTTAGAGTCTACTGAATATAAAAATTTTGTTGATGATATGGAATGTTCAATGATGATAATGTGGATATGGAAGTTCAATGGGCCAGTTCTAAATAAACAAGAGGGATGCAAAGAATCTATTGGGCATTCAAATGTCAACGAAGAGTTGAACCCTAAAGATATTAACTCTGATTATGGATCCCCAAGTGAATTGGTCAGTATTGATAGCTCATCTAGAGAGGAGTGTGAGAAGCCAAGAAAGTATAGGTTCAAGCAATTCAGACCTGAAATAGACATGAGGAACCTTCAATTCAAATTAGGGATGTTTTTCATTACATTAGCTCAATTGAAGGATGCTAATAGAGAATATTTATTTAAAAATTAGCGAAATATTAAAATAATTAAGAATGACAAGAAAATGATGAGGGCTAGTTGTTGTATGCATCTCAAGTTTAGGGCAAAAGTGTGTTTTCAAGTGAAGACTTATGTTAGCAAGCACTCAAGTGGTAAATCAAACTACAATACGAACATGAACTCCACAAATTTGGCTAAAAAATATATGGAAGAACTCAAAATAAATCCAAATTGATCAGTGAGGGCTATGAAGCAGAGGATTAAGAAAGAACTAAAACTGGATGTGTCAAGGAGTCAAATATATAGCGCTAAAAGAACGGCATCCGCCGTGCTTAGGCCCTTTTTTCCCTTCTCTAATGAAAGAGTCCAAGCTATGTACATGATTCATGGGAATGAAGTGTTACAGTACTCTAGATTGTGAGACTATTATGAAGATATTAAGAGAACAAATCTCGGGTCCACTATGGAGTTGTTCACATCAATTTATGAGGATACAAATCTCGCAAGGTTTCAAAGGTTCTATTGAAGACATGTAATATGGGATTGGTGGAAGGCTACAGACTTGTTATTGGGTTAGATGGTTGCCATATCAAGGGGTACCAAATTGGCCAACTGTTAGCAGCTATTGGATTTGACCCCAACAACTGCATGTTTCCGGTAGCATATGTAGTAGTTGAGACTGAAAATAAGAGTACATGGCAATGGTTCATAAGCCTTCTAGTTCAATATTTGAAGATTTGACTCCATTAAAGGTATATTCCTGCATTTATCTGATACCTTTGGCTATAATTTTTGAAATATTTGTATGAGCTGAAATACCATTTACTGCATTTATCTGATATAGGGTTTAATTCCTACACTGCATGAGCTGATTCCTAAAGCAGAGACAAGAACTATGCAAAACACTTCAAAAACAACTTCAGGAATACCTTTAAGGGTTTAGCATTGGAGGATATGATGTGGAAATGTGCAACTGCAACAACAGTTCAACAATTTAGAGGACAAATGGATTTGTTGAAAGGAGAGGATGAGGTAGCTTTTCAATTGGTTGACCAAGAACCACCAACAGGGTGGAGTAGATCACACTTTAGAACTACTACAAAGTATGATCTTATGGTCAATAATATATGTGAAAGTTTTAATGCTTCTACCCTTGATGCAAGGGATAAGCCCATTTTGGAGTTGCTTGAGAGGTTGAAGTTTTATGTAATGGATAGGATGTTAAACAAAAGTAAGTGGATGAAGAATTATAATGGATTGCTATGTCCAAAAGTACATGTCTTACTACAGGAATATAAAGAAGACGTAGTGACATGTATTGTAGACTAGTTTGGGGATCTGAAGTATCAAATCAAGTGACCTTATGGAGATCATTATGTTGTGGACTTGGGTGGCCACTCATGTTCTTGTATGAAGTGGGATTTGTTAGGGATTCCATGCCCTCATGCTATAACTGTTATTCAGGATAGGGGCCTAGAACTAGAGTCCTTTGTGAATGAGTGTTTAAACAAAGATGCATACATAAGGGCTTCTCAAACACACATTCAACCCATTAATGGTTATATGTTATGGTTTAGGACAGGGTTGCCTCCTCCACCCCCCCCCATTAGGCTGCAGGTAACCTAGGAAACCCAAGAAGCTAAGAAGGAGAAGGTTAGAGGAAGCTGTTAACCCAAGAAAACCACACAAACTAAGAAAAGTAAGACAAAATTCAGTTATGTGCAGAAGATGTGGGAAATATGGACATAACAAAAGGACAATGTTCAAGCTGTTCATAGAATACTAGAAAATTCAGTTATGTGCAGAAGATGTGGGAAATATGGACATAACAAAAGGACAATGTTCAAGCTGTTCATAGAATACCAGAGAATAGTGAAGGGAACAATGTTCAAGCTGTCCAAGGGGTTAGCCAAACCAATGGTGAAGGCAACATTATTCAAGATGCTAGAAGAAGAGGACAACCAAATCGAGTTAGAGTTGTAGTTAGAAGAAGGCAACCCAATGGTCAAGAAGGCAGAGACAGGGGAAGAGGTATTGGTCTGGGCAAAGGTAGAGGAAATGGACTTGAAATTGGAAAAGGTGGTACCAGTATCACAGAGAGAGGTGTTGGACTAAGCAAGGGTCGTGGTATTGGATTGAGCAGTTGAGTTGAACTGAGCAATGAAGTTGGACTGAACAAAGGATTAAGCAAAGGTAGAGGTATGGCTGGTAGAGGAGTTGGAAAGCAAAAAGGTCAAGTTATAGGGCATGTCCATCCTCATGAACAGGTTAATGTAATATGAAGCATGTGTATATAGATGATTTGCTTGTTTTTCAATTTAATGAACCTTTGGAATTGGTTTTCATGCAGGGTGGTAGTTCTCAAATAACACCAATTTCATCCCCTCAAGGCTGTTTTTAGACAACACCAATTGCATCAAATCAAGGCAATTCTTAGACAACACATATTCTATTATTCATGTGGAGGGGTCAAAGATGGGTAAACTTATTTGAACTGGAAGCTTCTTCAAGAAAGTTATGAACTTCACTTGTGTTTTGGGACCTTTTAACACTAGTCTTTTTGTTGGTAGACTGATCATTGTGAAAGTATGGTAATATATTTTGGGGCCATATGACAAGTTTTTTGTTGGCACACTAATCAATCTGAAAGTTATATGATACATTTTGTGGCCCTTTTTTTTGTTGTAATAACAGTTAGTTAAGCTATGTATATGGAATGGTTTTGTTGTTTGCACCTTTGAATTGATGTTTGAATGTGTAAGTTAATGGCCACTCCAAAAACACAATAACAATAATTCATGTTAAATACCATATTCCATTGCAAACATTGATCAATCTAATACATTGAGAATTACAGAGTGGCATACATCACCAATGCAAATATGAAACACATTGACTTCAATAATCTAGGGGTAATAACCCTGGATCTTTCGCACATGGGGGCGTCGTACCACACAAAGTAATCACAGCCTGCAGATTCCTACAAAATTAATTGTAAATTCTGTAAGATTTCAAATTACACACATTTGAAATTTACAGAAAAACAAAAAATTTATAAACACTCAATTCAATTTTCCCCATATTTCTCACAACCAAGAAATCCCCTCTCAAGATTAGAATCGGTCCACGAAGTGTATTTTACCCTAGAAACTACGATAAAAAAAAAACCGTGACAAGAAAATTGTGATAGGTAATAGTTTCAAATGGTTAAATGAAAATGTAAAGATTGCGTTTAAAAATGTTTTTTTCAGTTTTCAAAAAAAAAAAAAACTTTGGTTTTCTTTTTGTAAAAAGTGAAAACAAAAAACTTGTTTGGTTGCATTTCCTGTTGTCAAAAAATATTAAAATAGAAACAAAAACTTGTTTGATGAACACTTCTAAATTATTTTATGAACAATTTATTTACATCATACACTTCCTTGCTAGTTTAAATGTAAAAACAACAGAATATAAAAATAACACACTAACGCATAACATAATTCATAAAGCTATCATACTACAAACATATCCCATAATTTACAAACATCCAAGATAATGATCCATATAAACATCTATATAATCAAGTAGTTAGATTTATTTGTCTTTAATTTTTTGCGGTTCAAATTGCATGAAGAAATATTGATCAGATGGTCCTAATAACAAATTTCCTTCCCCTCTCCCCCTAATTTTTGGAGCAAGACTTTTATTCATTCCATAATTCTAAGACTCCTATCTCTGTTATAACTCTCTATCTCTCCCTATCTTATACTACAGATTAATAGGTCACTAATTATAATTCTAATTAAAGATTATCGTTAAAATTTTAAAATAAACAAGTAGACCTTAAATATAGATTTTTTGGCATCAAAACGAGTCGAATGACTATAATATAGGTCATATTTTGCATTAAAATAAAAATACTATAATATTCGAATGGTATAATAGGCGAATAACATATATGTAGGAGCTAGCATTATTTATCCGGAGCTTTTCATGGCTTAGATTGTTTTAAGATTATTGATCAAACGATCAAAATTTCTCCTACAAATTTTTTTTTCTGCCAAAGAATTATACGAATTCTTTCATTTTACTCGATTATTGGTTCGAAGTGACTATAATTAGGATTCGAATTAAGCTGAATTTAATTGTCGAGTATAAAGTATATATTCTTACTTAAATTTAATTTTACTTGAATTTTACAAGTATTCAAGTTGAAGTCAAATTGAAAGTGATTGTAAAAGTAATAAAGAATAACTAAATTATAAAAAAAAAAGTTATGGCGCACAGTGAACTGGAATAAATAATAAGTAATTGGTAGGTTTAAGATAGAAGTGTTAATTGAATCGAACTTAAATCCAATCTTCGGTTTGACGTAATTATGATTAGGACTTGAATTGAGCTGAATTTAACTATTGAATATAAAGTGTAAATTTTTGCTTAAACTTAAAGGGTGGGGCTACTCTCATTCCAAATCTCCATTCCCACCCCCATTTAATTTCTCATCATCAAACTACTAAATTCACCCTTTCTATACCCACCTCATTATCTAAGCTTACCCCATGCAACATACAAGCCCTTTAAAAAGAAAAGAATGAAATAAGAAAAAAAAATAATAAAGAAGCAAACCAAAACAAAAAGAAAAAAAAATCAAGCAAAGATTAAAAGAACAAACAAAACTACAAAACGCAAAACCACAAGACATAAAATCGAACATGAAAAAAAAAGTATCAAGCACAAACATAAAATTGAACAAGAAAAGAAATAACAAGTATAGATATAAAACCTAAACAATATTAAAAAAAAAAACAATCTGAAAACATACATATATATACACACATATAAATTCTAAATAAAAAATTATTAAACTTGACAGAAATATCAAAAATAATGAAAATCCATACAACAAATAGGAAATCAAATATAGAATTAAATTGGGAAATAATACTAGCCTGTATTTCACTAGAAAAATTCATATTGAAAAAAAATACTTTTGTGAGTGCATGAGATGAAATAGGGAATGAAACCCTAATTATGACAAAATGTAAGGTGAGTTTACTTACTAAATGGGGTGTATGTAGTATGAAGTAGATTTAGTTACAAATGAGGTGGATATAAAAAGTGTGGGATTAGTAGTTTGATAATGAGAAATTAAATAGGGTGAGAAAAAAAATATGTGGGGTGGAAATAGTTCCACCTAAACTTAAATTCGATTGAATTTTTACGAATATTTAAGTTGAGCTTAAATGGAAACTGATTTTAATTTCTCAACAAAATTGTTTACATTTACAAGAATTTATGTGAAACTTTTAGATGTTTTCCTCACAAAAGTTAGACGAACTCACATTGAAAAAATGGTGCATTGATAATGTTATTAACTTTAGGTAGAAACCTATAAAAAAAAAATTAGTTATATTTTTTTTTTTGAAATTTGAGATAAAATTTATTAAAAATGTTAAAATTATGGATGTTTAATCAATAATAATTATATGTTTTCAGATTTTTGAATTAATATGTTGTAGTTGTTGTAGCGTGACTTCATTATATAAATGTTTGATTATATATGTTTCTGCATGCAAGTTGAATAATATCAATTTGATTGTTATATTACTAAAATTGTATTATACATTGTCTTTATTTATGAAAAAATATTTACGATTTTTACAAGTAATGTAATGCTTTCAGGAACAGGCAATTACTAGTACACACATATAAATTCTAAATAAAAAATTATTAAACTTGACAGAGATATCAAAACATACCGAAAATAATGAAAATTCATATAACAAATAGGAAATCAAATATAAAATTAAATTAAGAAGTAATACTAACATGTATCTTACTAGAAAAATTTATATTGAAAAAATACTTTTGTGAGTGCATGAGATGAAATAGCGAATTAAACTCTAATTATGACAGAATATAATGTGAGTTTACTTATTAAATGGGGTGTATGTAGTATGAAGTAGACTTAATTACTAATGAGGTTGATATAGAAGAGGTGGGTTTAGTAGTTTGATAATGAGAAATTAAATAAGGTGAAAATAAAAATTTGTGGGGTGGGAATAACCTCACCTAAAATTAAATTCGATTAAATTTTTACGAATATTTAAGTTGAGCTTAAATGAAAATTGATTTTAATTTTTGAACAAAAATTTTTATATTTACGATAATTCATGTAAAACTTTTAGATGTTTTCCTCATAAAAATTACACGAACTCACATTGGAAAAATGGTGCAGAGATAATGTTATGAACTTTAGGTAGAAATCTGTAGAAAAAAAAATAATTATATTTTTTTTGAAATTTGAGATAAAATTTATTAAAAATGTTAAAATTATGGATGTTTAATCAATAATAATTATATGTTTTCAGATTTTTGAATTAATATGTTGTAGCAGTTGTAACGTGACTTTCATTATATAAAGGTTTGATTATATATGTTTTGCATATAGGTTGAATAATATCAATTTGATCATTGTATTATTGGAATTGTATTATATATTGCCTTTATTTATGAAAAAATATTTACAATTTTTAGGATTAATGTAGTGCCTTTAGGCAAGGGGAATTACTAGTCTACCAATATGACTCATAATTCATAAAAGCAATACACTGAAGTCATATACACAAATAACTATATGTCTCAATGCCCAACACTTGCCCTGAACTCATTGGCAATGTGATCTCTCATACGAGCCATTTGACGGAGATGAGTTTTTGACTGATATCTACTTCAATCGGGTTCTGTGAAGTCGATCATGCATTATCATCCACCCTATCTTCATTACTGAACTTATCAAACAATTGATTTTGAGTAGTGTGCATTCTAATGAAGTTCTGGATTATAAAACAAGCCTTTGGAATGTATTTTGATGTTCTTATAGGGTTAGGGGGTATTTGTTTGAGAATGGGAAACTGGGCCTTTAGCACTCTAAAACAACACTCAATGTCATTCCGAAGTGATAGGTGACAGTAATTGAATAGCTCTATGTCACTTCTTGGACGTCACCCACTACCTCTATACTCACATAAATGGTATGTCTCACCATGATACTGTGACAAAAACTCAGACATATTCGTATATACAGAATCAACAACATAATACTTATCTATTAAATGGTACACTTATTATAAATTCTACGAATGGAAAGGAAGGTTACAATGGAGAA